CCCATGGAGCATCTGGCGCTGGGCTTGGTGCTGCTGGCTGGGACCCTGGCCACCGGCAGCCCCCTGCACCGGCGAGACCTCAAATCCGTCAAGGAAATGGCGCTGGACATGGTCCCCACCTCCTTCGATGACCAGTACTGGGGCTGCAGCCGCATGATGGAGGAGGAACTGAAGGAGCTCAACCGCACTGAGTTCGCCAACAACAGCGTCTACGCCGAGGCCTGGACCAAAGCCACCACTGAATGGCGGAACCGACGGGGCCATTTCGCCCAGGCGCCAGCGCTGCAGCCGGAGCACGCGATCGCCCTCCTGGCGTACACCCAGCAGGGCCCCCTGTTCCGCGTGTTCAACGCAGCCGTGCGTGAGGCCGGGCGCTCCCGCGAGCAATACCTGGGCGCCTTCAACTTCAAGGTGCTGCATTTCCTCCTGACCGAGGCCCTGCGTGCCCTGCGGGACACCCAGCCCCAGCGCTGCCACCACGTCTACCGGGGCGTGGAGGGCATCCGCTTCACCACCAACCGCAACCAATCCATCCGCTTTGGCCACTTCACCTCCACCTCCCTCGACAAAACAAAAAGCCTACCCTTCGGCAAGGACACCTTTTTCTCGGTGGAGACCTGCTACGGCGTCCCCATCGGGGACTTCTCCTTCTTCCCCACGGAGGAGGAGGTCCTCATCCCGCCCTTCGAGAGATTCAAGGTCACCAACGTCACCCACAAAGGGAATGGAACCCTCATCCAGCTCCGCTCCCAGGGCGCACACAGCACCTACAACTGCGTGTTCGTGCAAGGTGACGTCCCCGCGGGACGGTTCCTCCCCACCGCCGGGGTGCAGGGGCCAGGGGGTGGGGGGTGGCCCCGTCCCACCAGCTCTGCCGGGAAAGGGGGGGCTCGATCGCGGGGAGGGTGACGGGGGGAGCTTGCCTTCGGGCGCGTGTCCTTGCACGTCTCCCAGCTGCTCTGCTTGGGGTTTGCAATGGGGGACCTCAGCAGCAAAGCATGGCGCAGCAAAGCATGGCACGGCACAGCATGGCACAGCACGGCATGGTGCAGCACAGCATGGCACAGCATGGCACAGCAAAGAATGGTGCAGCATGGCATGGCACAGCACAGCATGGCACGGCACGGCATGGCACGGCTGGGTCAGGCCGAGGAGCGGCGCGGTGCGGAGCGTGCAGCAGCCATGCAGACAGAGTTGGTTTCTTTGGCAGAGAAGAGATGCAAGGACCGGCCGTGCGTCTTCAGCGCAGGGGAGCCCCGAGC